TGGCAATAAGGTGAGATGTGTCTGCTGTCAAAGTGCAGCAGTTGCCCACCATGGGTATGGATCTAGAAAAACTGCAAACAATTTTACTTTTCATTTTGCTTTCTCTTTCTTCTGTCCAAAGCCAAGCTGTGAAGAGAAACCAAGGCCATGAGTGACCTTTGCTCAGGAAAAAGGGGTGGCCATTACATTGCCCCTTCAGAGTGAGACCTTCAAGGGTTTTTAAAAACTGACCTGTTTTGGTTCCTTACACTTTTCCACCCTTTCTTGTGATTCTATGTGTTCAGCAAGTTGGAACAGTGTGAGCTATGCTGTTCATAGGAACATGGTGCTTTGACAACTAGCTGTCAAAATATTGGCTTCTTTTAAAATGATTTTTTTTGTGGGGGCAGGGCTGCCCATGGCTTTCTGACTGGTCCATATAGCTTCATCTCTGCACAGCCCCAATGAAAAAATAAAAGAAGCCTTGCTAAACAAACAGCAACGAACTCCACAACCTGTTTAAACACTTTATTTATAAAGCCTCTTATACACATGATGGGTTATTATGACTTGCAAAGTCACCCGGTATCTATTAAATGGCAAATATACTCAGTAAACTTGGTGCAAAATGGGTGATAAAGAATAAAACTCTTCCAATTCAAGATGAACTTAAGTAGCTGCTGACTGCCGAATGCCACTCTATGTTTACTATATTCATGTATCATGAATATTTGGCCAACCAGAGCTCATACAATATGAAATTTCAGCTTGAAACCTTACATGGGCTGCCTTGGGGAAAAACATTTACAATGGTACCCTGTGTAGAACTTAGAATAAGAGGGTTCAAGTGGCACAGAAAACGCCCAGCTGCTCGAGTGGAAAGTTGGTGCCATAAGGACCTCCATGCACAGTTTCTCCTCCATGTACTTAGGTGCCTCCATTGATTTTTGGATCTGGTCAATAATTTTAAAAAAGTGTGCTTTCCTGAAGTGACATTTAAAACCTGGTTTACACATCTGGAGTTAATGGGAAGTTTATTCATTCCATTTATCCCTGGACATATTTTTTCTTAGTTGATCAATAGACATTTTGTTTGGAGTGGGGAACATTGGATTATAGAAGTTTAATCAAGTCTGGAAGATATACACCTCTCCTGCAGAAGTTTTGATACATAGTTACAATCTATGTGAAAAAGTAAACCTTGACATTACACACATGCAATTATCTGTAATATCTCATGTGACTATGAACAAGAGTCTTGGCTTTTGATTTGTTTTCTAGCAAGCCTTGCCTTAAATACAAGATAGTGAAATCAATAGGAATATATGCAGGTTATGGAAGGTGATACTGTGAGCAAGCAAATGTGTGATAGTTTGTAATTGCTTTACTGTAAAAAAAGGCTGCAATCTTTTATTAATCATTTCTATAGCAGATGCTGTACACAAAGCACTTTACAACCTTGTTGGACCTTGGAAACTATTCTGTGAAACAGATTATTATAGTCCCTCTTAACAGTCGCTTATTTGAAGACTCCATGGTGTGTCTGAGTGAGTAAAGATTGGAAGAGCATCTCAGATCCAACTGATTATCACATTGGTGGACTTGCGTGGTGAATATGACAACCAGTGAACAGTGGTTGCTTGATACAATGGATGATTGAAGAGGATGATCAACGGACCAGCACAAATGCAAGCTAACTGTAAAACTAGCTTTAGTTAAGAACATGAGAAAAGCCATGCTGGATCAGACCAAATATCCATCCAGTCCAGCATTCCAAACACATGGTGGCAAGCAAGTTGCTCACAGGATCCCTCAAGCAGGATGGGTGCAAGGCCTCCTCCTGCCCAAGCTCCTCAGCAACTGGTGTATGCAGGCAGGCTCCCTCCAGCAATGGAGGTAGCACATAGCTAGCAAGACTAGTAACCCCCGACCCCCATGACTCTGTCCAATCACCTTTTAAAGCCATTCAAATTGGTGGCCATCACCACTTGCCATGTAATTTTCATTCTTTGTCTTGGTATTTTGTGGGTCTTTGCTTTGTCTCATTCCTACCATGGTCTTTTCACTCTCTGCTTGTATTTTGTAGATACACAAGCGCTTTGTGATGTCAGTTTTGTGTGACACTGTGTTTCCTGGGTTTTGGGGTTAACACATTTGTTTATGGTCCCTGACACATTTCAAGAATGCCTGTTTCTCAAGGACAATTCTTTTTAACTTCCAAACAATGCTTAGAGCTGTTGGCTTCTAACTCATACTTGGAAGCTTTCTGTGTGAGTTAGAAGCCAAGGGTTGTAAGCATTGTTTGGACATTTTTAAGAGTTTCCTTTGATAAAACACAGTATAAAACATGTTGGTTGGGAACACTGGTGCAACTTTTAAGAACTTTGTTTTGGCGTTTACAGTTATTTTAATCCCTTTCATTGTTGATATGCATTTGTTAAATTTATCCCTTAGGAAATATGGGCAAGAGTGTGCTTAGTCCTGGTTTTGGTAAACTGCCTATTTGTTTAGTGTGACATTAGCATTGTGCAAATGTCCTGACCTGTGAAGCTACAGGAGTGCAAATGTATCCAATTCTATTTTTTCCCATGAACAGTATACTCAAGGATTTTGCTGTAAGCTGTTCTTCTGTCAGTGGTATGTGTTACTGGCACCTACTTTCAAAAACTCTGCTGTGTCATTCACTTTATGTTCTTTTAGGGCTAATCAAGAAAGAAGAACCAAGAGACAAAATATAAGATAGAACTGTTTGGTTTTATTACTTTATGTCATCAAGCGACCTCTTTTTCCCCTCCCTTGTGATTTATTTCTTTTTCTGGTTTTAAAATCTATTTTTTTTCTTTCCTTTTTTTCTTTCCCTTTTTTTACAACATACATTAAATTGTGAATCAGATGTTAAGGAGTTGTGGAGATGAAGGGAAGTTGGTGACATCACAATATTTTACAACTTTACAACAAATGAGAGTCTGACTTTGTGTCTACCAGTGTATAGCAAGGGTGGAAAGCAAAGGCACACGTAGGTCTAAGAACCTCTTCACGCAAAGGGCTGGAAAATGGGTGTGTGTGTATGTGTGTGTCTGAGGAAGAGTAAGAGTAAGAAAAGAAAGGATCTGAACAGAAAAACACACACAAGTACAAAATGGGCATTTCAAGGTCAACCCAGTCATTGGCATGATGTATATTACAAAGGCAGGTCCCTGTACAAAGCTGCAGTGATTATTCATTTCTACATTATGACAGACTGCTTTGCTAAGATGATGTGAGCGGGGGACTGTGCCCACTGGAGCTCCAGGGGGTTGAGCTTGGAGGGAATAAAGCTGCCTCGCTCCTTTATGTTTTCTGATGAGCCCCCTGCCACCTGCAGGTTAGGAAGAAATTAGAAAAACAACACTACAAATCGAAATCCCTAACAGAAGCATTGCTTTATCTTTAGAATGCATAGTTCACTAATGGTGAACAACCAGTTCAAACAAGGGGGTGGAGAAGAAAAGATAAGATCTGCAAGCACCCTTGTTACACACTTTGGTTTCAGTCATCCAGACTTTCTAAAGGACCACCTATGTGCTGCTAAGCAACTTCAAGATTTTTCTTGTTTTTTTCATAAGGAAAAAAAAGGTCCCACATTCAAAATCCAATGAAATAAATCCAAATGAAGTATAAAAAAATTATTGTCTTAAAAAATCCCCCTCAAGAAAAGAAAAGAAAAGAAAAGAAAAGAAAAGAGGAAATCCACACTAAAGCAACAACACCCTCCCCTCCCAAACATTCTCCCAGGCCATATAAAACACACACAACCCTTTCCCCGCTTTTTGCTACAGCATGTTGACATTTATAATAATAGAATAAAAACCAAATCTATACTTGTGCACAGATGACTGAGACATTGTCAAAACATACATTCCTACACACACTTGTGCACCCACACATTTCCCCCACCCCACCAAATCAAAGGGGAGTTATACAGCATCCATCTGGGTTGCCTTACTGTAGCAGTTACTCAAACAGCAGGATCCAGCCTGCATTAAACTTATTTCCATTTCTTTTCATGTGCTGTACATGCGCTACATATGTGCGCCTGGGGTCTTTCCACCAGACAGCCAACTGCACATAGTGCTTGTCTCCAGTGGACACACCAGACTTGGTGAGAGTCCATTCACAAGTTCTTTGCTGGTTATGAAAAAGAATATGCCACGATGCTGAAATGATATGACAATTTGAAGGTAGGAAGAAATGCTGCCCACAGTACAGCATCCATACTGCCAGCACAGCCCAAGGGTGGTTGGAGATCAAAACGGGCACAACTAGGAAGTCAAACTGAAGCAATGTGTTATTGTTGCCACCCTGTCTTCTTGTGGGCCAGAGTGGTGCTATTACAGTAACCACAACATTCTTTCTCCAGTTCTCCAGGGCAGGGAAGTAACTGAGGATGGAGATAAATAAATCTCTGATTTATTCCAAAGAGAGGGGTCAAGGTTGTACATACTACAGCTCACAAATATACACAACTGAGGGTGTAAGGCACAAATTTACATGTGGAAGAAGACAGGTTATTAACATAAGTATTCCCACAAAAAACCCACCCTCCCCCACCTCGTGCGGTAAGACCATAAGCTATGCATGGCAGAGGCCAGCCTATGAGTGAATCCCCACTGTTTGTGGACTTTTATTTGCCATCTCACATGCAAAGGTGAAATGATATGGCAGAGAACAAGCTGGTGCCTTCACAGAAAGTATTAGCTACTGACAAAAAAAACATGTTCACAGCAATGGAACAGAGGCGTGCAGCTTTCGAAGTGCTTCCTCTGCAGGACGTTACTCTAGGAAGAGGGAAATGTGGTAGACGGGTGGGTGGGAGGTTTGCTTCTCTGCTGCCTGCCACAGAGGCAGGCAGGCAGGCCGGCTGGCCAGCCAGACAAATTAACACCCATGGAAATAAATAGCCCCCCCACCCGGGCTTGTTGTTTGTCTGCCTTCCAGAAAGTGATTAGAGAGTCCAAACAAAGAGTTCAGAATTCCACCTCCAACTTATTTAACTCAGTGAATTTATTGGAAAAATAAAAAGAGTTTTAATTACTCCAGTTAATGGGTTTCATGTTAAATAGGCATAATTTTCAATGTATTTTTTCCTTCTGGAGAGAGCTGCTCATATGATGATATGCAGAAGTAATTTCCTTAGGAATTTTTAAAAAAAGACAAAAAGGATGAACAATAAATAATAGGAGTTACTTGCGTTAACAGTCACATGTTATTAAAAGAGAAGAGTAGCAGAAACCTATGACAGGGTCACTGCCCAACATGGCAATCTGCTTTAACCAAATGGCTGTAACACTGATGGGCCTTTCACAGTACCTGTACATAGTAAATGTCTGCCACAGTTCAGTTAGTGTTAGCTTCATCAAGCAATCCTTCTGTTGCTGTTGTTGGTGGCTCATTTTCCCATTCCTTTTGCTTTCAGAGTACTCGTTTCCCAGTTCTGGGATGCACTGTGCAGCTGAGAGTGAAGTATCACAGTCATTATTCAGGTGTGTGCTTTTGGCTCAATGTTTGTGGTTAGTCTGTTGAGTAAAGGACGGTTGTGTTGTGGGGGTGGGTCCTGTGGTGACAAACTGTGGATTGCATGGCCCGAATGTTAACAAATATTCCACTTTTCCCAGAGAGCAGTACATCCACAGGCTTAGCAGCTTCCTGGTCAGTCGAAACTAGCATTATGGCTGCCGAAGACTGGCTTTAAGGGCATACTCTGGTCACCTGCTGTCCCCCCCACCCCACGGTGATTATGTACACGCATCATTAGGCTTCACTGATGCTGAAAGAGGGGAAAAGGAAGGCTTTGGGGGTACATCTGGTTTTAATGAAGGTGTACGTTTCAGCCCTGATCTTGTCAGCGAGTTGTACGTGGTGAGACTGGGCTGCCTAGACACAGTCACAGTCTGACCCTGAGCAGCGTGGACTTGTATAGAGTCCACCCTCTGTGGGGCAGGAGGGGGGTTGTCTCCCCTGCCAAAGCTCTGATTTCTTGAAAGGTGGGAGGAATTAGAAGAATTTGTATTATTTCGTTTGAGAGTTGAAGTCTGGTGGTTTCTCGTAAGCGAGTTCGTAGGGTAGTTTCTCTTGTAGTCCACGTTATAAGCAGAAGAATGCATTTCCAACCGCTTGCTCAGACTGCTCTGAGCATGAGAGGAGCTGGGGGGACCCAGAGAGGCCTCCCGCTGGGGTACTTTGGGGGGCATGCTATCCAGATTCTCCACCAGGTTCACCCCGTGGTTGGGGCTTTTGCTGCTGAGATGCTCTTTAATGGTTTTATACTCAAGGGTAGCATTTTGGTCCTCCATAGCCATCTGTGCCACGTCACTCATTTTTGGCTGATCAACATACTCATGCTGATACCCTTGCTGAGAAATGGGCAGGACCACCACGCTTGGGATGTGGCTGGGAGAAGCCCTGAGAGGCAGGTCTGTGGGGATCACGGGTGATGCCATAGGGGGGATATCTTTTGTGCAGGCATTGATGAGGTTCTGGTTTCTCTCCCAGTCTCTGCTGCCACGGCTGGGCTTTCTCTTCTGCTGCAGTGTCGGGGTGGACTCTGGGGTTGGCAAAGCAGCCAAATCCAGATGGTGCTGGTCAGCTTTGATGAGCATCTTGGCTGTGCTGCCGGGGGTGGCAAGCTTGCCGTTGTGCATCAGGGGAGTGAGAATGGCTTCAGGCTTTGGTTCTTTCGACTGCGTGTCCCCAAAGAGGCCGCTGAGCTTGGTGACACTGCTCATGGAGCCTCGGCGGGACTGGGCCAGCTCTTTCTCTTTCCTCTGCACAATGGCCACATCTCTGCGTCGATGGTCACAAACGCAGTAGACTATGATCCCCGAGAAGACAGCCCCCATGACAAAGGCAAGAATGACTGCAATGGCCAGGAGGGTGACAGGCACCAGCTGATCATGCCCTTTGAGATAACTCTCACGAATCACCCCTGCAACAAATATCACAGAGAGGTAAGCAGAAGAGAACAGCAGAGGAAATGATCATGATCAGAATTCATCAATTTAAAGCCATTCACTAGCTGGAACTTCTACAACTATCTGGAAATAACTCTTTTGGATTACAAACACTTCAAAGGTACTTTGATATGACAATAGTGGCCTTGGATTGCCTCAGTATGGAGTGCTACTCCACTGCTAAGAAGTGGCAAGAAGGTTCAAAGAGCTACCGATGCCCAGTTGGAGTTTTGGACACTTTTTCTTTGAACATTTCTCCCCCAACTCACACTCCTTCCTCCATGCTACAATTACGAATTATTTTTGAAATGTTCCTATTTCAAAAATGGAAACATTTATTTCAAACATCCTATTTCAAAAATGGTCTGCAATATGGCGTGTTTGGCTACTGTTTAAGAAGTAAGCCAAAATCCTTTATATATAAGGCACTAGTTGGAATTGTAGAGTTGGAAGAACTCTTATAGACCATCTAGTCCAACTGCCAATTCAATACAGGCTCGGCAGGATCCTGACAAGTGGCCATCCACCCACTGCTTAATAGTGTTCACACTGTTCCTTGGGTACAAGAAGGAGAAGGAAACGACTATTGCAGATTGTTTGCATTATATATAGTTGAACCCTGGTAAAAGTTTTTGTTTGTTTTAAAGAAAACTCCCTTTCATTTCAGTCAAATTATTTACAAAACAAAACAAACTCCTCTTTCAGAACAGATTTGTTTTACAGTCCTTATATACCTCAGCAGAACCCTCACCCAACGAAACATGGTCATTCATTGATATGCTTTTCCAGACAAGTGTGCCAGGATCAATGGAGCATTAAAGAAAAGACCACAAAATTGTAGCCCCTCACATGCCCCCCTGCTGTCCATCTTACAAAGGAATGTACCTTACAGTCTAGCAGCCCTCTTCTATTCCATTTATGGAAGCTTATCAGACTGACGGATAAATCTTGGTTTAAAACTGCTAGCAGGACAGTGTCTTCTACTAATTGGAAGTTGGCAGGCTCACTCAGTGGCTCTACAGCAAGTCACAGGGTACAACCTTTTGCTGCTGCTTCTGGACTCCCAGCATCTAAGGCACCTGCTTTACTCCACCTAATGGTCAGTACCATGTCTGCATGCAGATAGTCATGTTACACAACATGGCAACCCACTATCAGCCAGGGTGGCTTTTTTTAATCATGTGCAGCTGGCACAGCTTCTGCAGTATGGCTTATTTTTCATGAAAAGCTACTCTGGGAACCCATGGCTTATTTTACTGTTGTTTTTACTGTCTTTTGTCATCTAAACCCAGCAGGGTGACTTTACCAGGAATGACTAGAGAGCTGCCCTGAACATCCCAATCCTCTGCCACCCCTCTCAGTCTTGCTCATGCCATTGCCATCCTCCCTTCTTGCTTCTCAGCTTACACTGCCTTTACATTTCTGCAATATTCCCTTTGATTTACTGGTTTGCCATGACATCTGTTTAAACCTGCTCACTGCTTTGTAAGATGTGATAATTAGCAAGGGAGGCAAACAAAAAGCAGGATGTTGGGGGAGCCAAAAGTGACTGGGGAGAAGACTCTTTGCCAGTAAGTGTCCTTACTTTTAGAATGTGCTTACTGTACAGCAATGGGAAGCAGACTATTTTATCAAAAATGTGTTTGCTACTAGCAATGTAAGCATCGAAGTGAAGAGGGGATGCAGGGATTCCTGAATGAATGTTGGAGAGATAGAAATTGATATTGTTCAAACTGACTGTCCTGACTGATGTGAAGGTACATGGACCAGTGCTGAGCAGCCCGTTCTTGTGCATGGACATTTCTGGATCACAGGCCATAAGGTGCATGTAAAAGCAGTCTTGCTTAGTCCCCCCACCAGCTAATACCCAATGCTTTATATGTATGAATCGGGATGGTGCTGAAATAGAATGATTGAAGAGTAGATGTTTCTCTCCATGCCATTCATAACTTCTGGTATGAACCAGGATTTCTGTGTGAACATCCAAATGTGTGGAATGGGTGACACAGCTTTGTCTCTATAAAAGGGAGAGGAGAGCATTTCATGATATGGGCATGGCGTGATTGTGTGTTCACACTAAGAACCTAGAGTTTGTTTTTGTAGTGCAGGAACTCACAACATTGATCCTAGGGCTACAGAATGAGGAACCATTAACTGTCAGAACAAAAAGGAATACAAAATGTTTGCTTTAAACTGTTCTAAATTCCTATCATGTTTTAGAGATCATTGAAATACAAGTGCCTTCAAAACTATTATAATTAATTGTAAAAATATCCTTAGTACAGCAGAAAGACAATGATTCTGGTTTTCAAGGTTTTCTGGAAGATACAGATCATTCAAGGAATGAGTTAGAATTGAATTTTAACATAATGTTCATGTAAACTATCCCCAAATAAGCAGGCCTATAGAATCAGTACTTCTATATGAAAACAATGCTGTCCTTTTATATATAAACATTCTATGGATGTATAGGCAACATATTTGGATACAATGCTGGAACGTAATGATTTTTAAAAGTTGAAATGCTCTGAAAAAAGTGGTTTTGAAATAAGCTTTTCATGCAAATTATTACATTGTGATGAGCAATGTATACCTTCATATAAGGAAAGAACAGCAAGGAACGTTTCTGCTTTCAGAACTAACTGTAACTGTATACTGTCATCTCATGGGCATGTTATCATTTCAGCATGCATTTGGGGAATTGCTTATTTCTAGGAGTCTCCATGCTAAAATCTCTCTGCATGTGAAAATGTGAAAGATTTCCCCTTGACATGTAAGCTTTCTGAAATTCCAGCATGAGGGCATATTCAAACAAGCAATGCCCCATGCAGCTGAATAGGCCACATTCCTGAACTACCATCCTGCCTAAATGTTGAGATTGATTCTAAGGGAGGGAGAAACAAGTTCTTGCAGAAACATGTTCCTGGAAGATATCCCAATAATCATCTAGTGCAACTGCTTTGGTGGGGAAAGGCTGTCATTCCATGTCTAGCAGAGAGTTCAAATTTAATGGGCACAGTAACCCCCAACTGTTGGGATCTAGAATTACATTCTGGGATCACACAGTGCTGTCAGTATGCCAAGAAAGTCACATGTGAAAGAGATGTTTGCATAGACAAATGGACATGAAATTTGCAATTATTTCATTAATTCTCCCTTCCCAAAAGGAGAGCTGGAGGAAAAACAGGAATCAAATGAGTGCAGCATCTAGCTATATGCGTGGGACATGCAACTCACGCATGACAAGGTGTGATGAGCACCAGGCAAAAGACCTATCTGGTCTCACTTCCTATTTCTCAAAGTGGCCAACCAGACATTTGTGAGAGGCCCCATTCAAACTATCCAAACTGGTGGCTGTAACCACATCACATGCTAATGAATCTTAGAGTTCAGCTATGTGTTGCATGAAGAAGTACTTTCCTTTGTCTGTTCTGAATTTTCTGCTATCCAGCTTCTGGTGCTATAAGAGAGGAAAACCTCTCTCTGCCCATTCTCTAACTATGCACTCAGTGTTTCTATCACACCACAGATTGCTACAAAAGCATTGTGATATTGGCATATTTTGAATACCTTTCTTAATGATCCCCAACGTGGATATTAGCTTTAGTTAGGGATGTCTAGCAAAGGGATCAAAAATAAAATGATCACTATCGTGGACTTCATATGCACCAAAGAAATGCCTTGCTGGATCAGACCAAAGCCTATATAGACCTTCTAGCAATGGCCAACCAGCACGTGGTGGACATTCCTTTGTTCCCAAGTTCTGGTATCCAGAGATACAAATGTGATCTGCAACCAATAGTTCCAGTGGTTAGTGTTCCCTGTTCAGAATTCCAGTTACTCCATTCCTTTTCCCTTCCAGTTTTTCTTTCTACCCATGACAAGCGGACAGCGTTCCATCATCACTGAATAGGCTTGGTCCTTACTGGACATAATACCTTGTTAAGGCTCCTCCCACTGCTAAATGTAAAATACTTCCTGTTCAAGATTCCAGCCACTCCATTACAGTCCCATCATTTTTTTTCTGTCCACTCCCAGTTTCTATAGACACTGAGCCTAGGCGATACTTACTGGGTTATTTGGGGGATTTTCTTCACCAATTTTATGTGTGTGAGGTTATTGTTGTTGCTGCTGTAAATTTCAGGTTTTCCTCTAGCCTTCTGATCCTGATTTCTTGTTACATGCATGTGCTTTATATTTAGGCCATGTAAGGAATGGCAATCAGAGGCTGAACACTAGAAATTGAGGACCTGAAACGATCTAGTCAATTTGCCATGCTCAGCTGGAATCAGTGCAGGGCTTCCAAATCAGTTCTGGTGCCCCATCACATGTAGGAGATTAGCCGGCCCACTAACACCCGAACTGCCCCTACATGCATCGATTTTAAGAATTTGTGAGTATTATCAGTTTGTTGGTGCTGCACAACAAGTCTCTCTAAAGACAGAAGACACTCTAACAAAGATTTAGCACCATGAAAGATCTTCTCAGTGCTAACCTAAGTATAATTTATCCAGCTTCTCTGTTTCTAAAAATGCCACAACATGTACGCTGCATGTGACTGTTCCCACAGTGAAGCTATTAGCACACATCTGTAGAAAAGAAATTCAAAAGAGACAGTGGGCCATATAAAAGGGCTCTGTATTTTTCTTTTTATCACAATAAGTCTGTCTGAGAGACCAAAATAGTCTCAACATGTTACAAGCATTAGTTTGTCTTGTCTGCAATCGCGGGGAGAGATGGCAAAACACCAAAGGAAGTCTTAGTGTCTGAGCTGTATAAAAATAGATTGTGGAGTAGGTTAGATAGGGAAGGCAAGTAAAACTCTCCTAGAATCCTTGCTGTGGGTCATTCATTGGCAAAGGAAAACAAACAACCCTGTCTTCATGGTATCTCTATATGCCTACAACTTTTCACAAATGAAAATAGGGACATTCTTGTCAACTTGTAACCTCTCCTTTCAAGGATCAAGGATCAT